GGGGGACCCCGAGTGGGGGTCGAGAGCCCGCGGGCAGCCTGAAACCGGGAGGGGATGCCGGAGCTACGGAGGGAGCGGTGATGCGAGGGGAGAGCTGCCCCTGGGAGAGGCTGGGGCGCGGGACGGGCAGGGCGGCTGGGAGGGCTCTGGTGGGAGAGGGGTCAGTGCGGGAGCGGGGCCGGGGGAGCCGGGCAGGGGGCCTGGGCTTAACCCTGCCCTGCCCGAAGGGACCGATGGCACGTGTTGGCGGTGAGGGCTGAGGATGGTTACTTCTCATCAGTCCCACCCTGGTCCTGTGCAGCCCCGCCAGGGCTGCGGTCACGATGGGGTGTAAGGGTCCGTGTGCCAGTTACCCGGGGCTGCGTGGGGGCTCTCTGAGGCGGTGCCAGTCCCACTCCTTCTCTGTCTCTGTTGCTTGTCCCAGTGCTGAAAGGAGGTAGAGTAATTTGAGGCTGAGGTTGGGGGATGTCACTCCACGACCTTAAGTCGTTTGTCTCCAGGCCGTAGCCTGTTCATGTATGAAGAGTGACAATTGTTTTGCTTGCGTGCAAACCCGGAAAGGAGGTGAGACAGTGAAGTTGTATTTGGGAGTGACTGCATGTTTGTTTCAACCCAATTGACAGCTTGAGGGGGAAATCCGAGCCTGTCACATCCTCTGTCTTTATCTTTTCTTTCTTTGGAAAGGACTGCACTGTCCTTTCCCAGGTAAAAATGGCTTTGCCTGTTTCTTCCCTCTGCCTCAGCTATGGAGGTGAAAGAGAGACCCAAGCGTGCTCTTCCAGGCTAAACACACTTCATGCCAGACAGACAGCTCTGTGAAGGATGCTGCTCCCTTTTCATGTGGCCTATGAACAGTTTCCTCATCGTAAAACTATCAGTAAAAGGGTTTCTAACAGTAACAGGGTTTTTCCTGCCGATGGTGATGAGGAGGGGTGTGTGCATTCAGGACTCATGCTCACCAAAAGCTGGGGAGCACTTTGGGGTTCTGCAGTGCAGAAATAGCTTGAGGTGGCTTTCCCTGCCTTTCTTCCCAAAGCTTGTGGCTGGCTGCTCTTTCACAGCCTTGCTTTTGCTGGTTTGGCTGGTTCATGTGCAGGCTGGGAGCTTGTACAGTTCCTGATCATATCACCAGAAGAAATTCTTTCAGGCAAAATCAGCAGTTCTCTGCTAGTGCTGAGTTTTACCAACACTTTGCATAGAGAAGCATCTGTGGACTGTTAAGGAGATCCCATGAGTTTTTTCATCAGAATAAGATTAAAAAATAACTCCACACCCTACTGGTTAGCCAAAGGTTTGTAGTGGATGCTAATGCTTGAAGTGAGGTAGTCAGCCACGTGCTCTCTGGACTTGCTGCATAGTGCAATTTGAATGCTGTCCGTGGATAGAAGGGGGACAGGATACACTGAGAAGCTACAGAGACTTCAGAACCTACCAAAGAGCCTGAGGACTGATGCCAAGTGTTGGGCAGCACCACAGCACCTGTTTCAGTTCTTCTGTCCGTGGACCATGGGGACCAGGCAGTGGGGATGGTGTCTGGAGGGGACCAAGTCACAAGCCACACTGCAGAAGGGTGAGCTAGTGCTTCTTTAAGAAAAACTTGGGAAGTCACATCCCTAACAGAAAAGGTGTGGATTACAGGAATGATTAGAAGTTAGATACAGGAGTAGGATTACAAATGGGATGAACATGTGTCATAGAAGTTGCTGCAGGATTGGGGCAGGAGTCATAGGAGGGTTTAGGGCATCCTGGCAGCATTAGAGGTTTGTTCCACAAATGGGAAAAATGTGCCTTTCTTAGGTTTCTCCTTTTCTAACTTATGCCTGTTACCACCCCAAACCTATTTTCTCCTGTTTAGCCAGGTATTGCCTTCAAAATTTTCTTGACCCTAGCCTTGCTTCTTGGTGTAATTAACACCAAAATCCAAGTTAAGTAATTCAAAGGCAGTAGTTGGAAGGGTGATGAAAGTCTTCCAGTTTGACTTTTAAGTTGCATCCTTCTCTGAATTTGTATCCTGATTTTGAAATATTTTTCACCTGGTTTCTTGTGAAAGGGAGGATTATATGATCACATGTTATGTACCTGAATATTTCTGTTTATTCCTCCTGTGACTTACCTTTGTGTTGGCCAATGGATTCAGATTTGGTGAAGGGATATTGCACAGATATAGAGTCCTAGAAGCTCTGAGCCTAAGTATAGTTAGACAGAATACAGGAACCCAAAATGGTTTGCATCCTTCTTCCCAGAGGAACTGCATAAAAACTAAAACTGTATTATTAGCCACCAGTGATTGCTAGTGAACAAGAGACTTTATAACCTCCCACACCATGGGAAAAGTTTTGATCAAAGCTTGTATCCTAATGGACATGAAGTAATCCAAATGCAGGATACAAAGCCAAGAGAAACAAGGTTTCAGAAGTGGTTGGTTCCTTTTTTTCTTTTTCTTTTTTTTCACAAGAAGCTAATGGCAGTTACATCCAATTCAAATTCTTATTTTGTTTGCAGCCTTCTTCTTCGGGGGTGTGGGGGTTTAATTGCATATTTTGGAGGAACAGAAGACATACATATCAGCCAAAAAGAAATAGCTTGTTACCATTCTGAGATGCTCTGTGAGTCCATGGGTGTCTTTTCAGAACATCAGTCAGCATCAAAATTAGTTTCCTTAGAGTGTTATTCCTTAGTATTTTTTTGGCTTTGCAGACAGTTAGATTGCAGTTACAATACAGTTAGAAATGGAATGTAGTTGGAGTGCATTCTGTCTTCCCAAGTCAGGATTTTCTTAGTTAGTTCTTGGTTCTCCTGGAGAGGTGCTGCAGCAGCATGCAAAGGATTTTGCTCCTTCCCTGGGGTGTAAGTGTCCCTAGTGTCAGCTGGAGCACTTGATGGCCAATGCAAATTACTGCTGGTATCCTGATTTTTCCGCAGGGCCATTGACCTGTAGGGATAAGAGGAACTGGGAGTCTTTGTCTCTACCAAGAGACGTTGCCAATCAGTTGGTTGAAATACTGAGCTTGTGCACTGAAGTGGCTTCGGGGTCCTGCTTGGGTCAGAGCGTGGTCGGGGTTAATATAATCTGTTTGGGGAGTAAAAGTTGGAACAAACACATGGGGGTTGTTTCTCTAAGTAGAGCAGAGAAATATATAAGTATTTTTAGATATGAATGTGACTTCCCTCACTTAATCTTCAGAATGAAACCATGGACACGCTTTGTCTGGAAGAGCTGACCAAGGTTTTAGCACCCTTTCATGCTCTGCTCTAGTTGCCACCTGAGAACTTGTACCAAGTTACCATGTACCTGGTGATGCTATTACCACGTTTCTTTAAGTAGAACTTTTCCTTCACTGCATAGACTGAATAGTGGAGTTAGGCTGTTATTTTCTTTTTGCTTTCCACAGGCTTTGGGGAACCATGAGTTTGATGAAGGTGTGAGTGGATTATTGGATCCTCTTCTTAAAAATGCTAATTTCACAATCCTGAGTGCAAACATCAAAGGGAAAACCCCATTAGGAATTGAAATGATGAAATACGTGAAACCTTTTAAAATAGTGCATTTTGACTCTGAAGCAGTAGGAATTGTTGGCTACACTACAAAGGAAACTTCTTTTCTTTCACAGCCAGGTATGTTTTCTTTATTATATAAGTTTTATATACTTTTAGTATGTAAGTTTTATATAGTAACAATATCCTTTGCTACTTTTATTACTTGCCCGCTTGTTTGAATCCAAAGATTATTTTTTACAGCTGAAAAATGAGAAGTTTGTTTTATCAGTCTTTATTTGTATTATGCAGCTTTTTAACAGCCTGATTTTTAAACTGGAGGAGATTGGTTAATATTAAAAGCCATTTTCTTACAGACCTGAGTTATTTAACATCACTGAATGATCTAAGAATATAATAAGGTCAGTAAGATTGCAGGAGGGCTGTGGGGGTTTTAACTGTTGTTTAGGGTTTTGCATTTATACTCTATTATATTGTTATTTATCAATTTAAACAAAAGTTAAAACTAGCTTGTCTCTAGAGTGAAGTGTGTTCAAACCAATATATTTCTCTGTGTGATGAAATTTTGTTCTTGGATGCCTCCATGCTTAAGCCCCTAGTAAAAGCAAAGAGAGCTTCACATGTGTTTTTGAACCAGAAGTTGCCCAAGATGTTTTTAGCTTCTCAAATATTTCCAGAAATTAGGCTCCAGAAGGAACACCCATTCAGCTTTTACCACAATTGCTTCATTCATGAGTAAAATTAGAATTAATGAGGACAAAGACTTCTCAATTTCTGACCACTTTTCCAGCGTTTCAGGGGGTTTGGTTTGTTGAGTTTGGTTCGTTTTTTTTAGTAAAGTGGTCGTTGGTAGGTCTGTCAGAATGAGAAACACATTTAAATCAGCTGTAGGAGATCTGAGTCACTGCCTGCTTGAAGTTCAGCCACCCCCTGACAAGATCAGACTTTCTTCCTTGATTTTTTCAGTAGGGATGCCCCTAAACCATCCACCACTGGATGGTTTAAGACATTGAAAAGAGCTTCATACTGCTTCTCTTTCAGTGGCTAAGTGATAAAGGAGTATTGCATAGCTTTCTTGAGAAAAGGAATATTCAATACTTTGAGGAAGTATTAGAATATAAAACTGTGCTTTTCCTTCTGTGCTGTGTAATTCCTATGCTGGATGTTTTAAACTATCAGGAAGTGGACATTTGACTCGGAATAGATTTCTGTATCACTTCTATTTCACAGTGGTTTGGTTTTGGAGTTCTTTTTGTCTTTCAGTGAAAATTGTTGTATTCAGGGTAGGCAATAGAATTTCACCTGTGCTTGAGGGCAGGTGGCATCTGACATCACAGTAAGTTTGGAAAATGGACAGACAGAGGATATTGTTTTTCATTAAGGGTTCATAAAATAGATCTCAGCTCTTCTTCCAAATGACTGTGTTGGTGTGATAAGGTCATCAAATTAACTTTCTTACAAATAAATATACTAGAGGAAAATCCAGATAGCGCTAGAATGACATTGAGGCATTTAAATACATTTCCAATAATATCTAGACATAATATTGAATGCCTTGATACATTGAGACAGCACAACAGAGACCACAACTAGAAAAAACCAGTGTGTGAAGGGAAGGCTTGTTAGCTCCATAGATGGAGCTAAAGCAGCTCTGGGCTAAGTATATCCCACAGTGTAATTGAGCAACAAGCAAGGCAAATTCTGACAGCAACTTTTATAGTCATCAGAGTTTTTTCTAATTTTCTGCTTTGCCTTCTCAGCACTTGGAAGGTTTGAAAATGTGGATTCAGAGTGTGTTAATATAGCTCAGTGTCTATATATCATCCCATGATTTAGCAATCCTTCAGACTGATAAGGTCATGGCAGAGGTGGGTTGATGGCAAAATAATTGTCAAGCTACTTCCATAATTCAAGGCGTAAGTTACATTGTGAATTTTAAATTCAGCACCTTGCTTATCTCTACACACATCTCCCAGGTGATTCACTTTTCCCAGACCCTGTAGCAATTGCTTGGGCATGCTGAACAGTCTTAGGCTGTTCTTGAAGCAAACAGGAAGCTTGAAAATGCTGAAACATGTGAATTCCTGCATGACTACTTTCAGTGACCTCTTTCGTGAGCTTGATTTCTTCTGTTGATATATCCCAATACCTTCCACCCAGTTGAGGAATTACAACTTGAACTTTTTGTTGTCTGCTTAAAACAGCTCTCAATGTATTTTAACAGAGTATCAAGTCTTTTTAAATCTCAGTGTTTCCACTGTGAAGGAACAATTAATCCCTGTTGAAGGTACTGTTAATATTACTGTTTGGAAACCTTAGGAATGGGGAACTCCCAGCAGAATTTATAGATTACAGCCAATTTTTCTGAGGTTCTCTTCTGTGTTCCTCAGCTGAATGCACACACATTTTTATTTTTTTTCAAACATCCTCCAAGAGTTGTTCCTACCTTGGCACACAGACAGAATTGTCTGTGTATTTGTTTTGCACTGATAATCCCAAGACCATCTTTCTAGTCTTTGATGGCATAAGCTCGCTTGGCTTGAGTTCTGCAATGATATTATAAAGACCACAACATCATTAGGGTTTTTATCTCTCCTGAGAAATGCTACGTTAACTTTTGGTGCTGTAAAATAACATATCTCCTTTTTTCCACTGTCTTTTTTTTTGCACAAGATGCAATCCTGAAGCTGCTTACTCTGTAACCCTATGGGTAGCAAGATGTTTACTAAAACTATCAACTTGGCAGAGTTTTCTAAATTGGAATTTAAAATTCCATTTATTCCACTTTATTCTGGCTAGCTTGCATAGTATTTTCAACATGCAGCCAGTTCTTTTTCCTTGTTCATTTATAGCACAGTTGGATGTTTTATCTGAACCTCTACCCCATCTAAGAAGAGAAGAGAATGCCACATCAGTTTAATGCCTTGAAAGAGAAGCGAAATAAAGCCACAAGCAATAACTAACTCCTAAATAAGCACTTTATTTCAATTCAGATTGTTCTGAAAAAATGCAGAGGTGAGTGCTAAGCAGTGTGTTGCTGTTTGCCTGGTTTCTTAGAGAAATGAGCCCTGGGTATTTGCTCTTAGTCGCCCGCTGTGTGACTCCTGAACCTGCTGGCCCATTTCAGCTTGATTAGATCCGGTGCTGAGGATGATGAGGGTACAAAGTGGTGAGAGATGCCATGTCTGGGTCATGGAGAGGGGTGCCAGAAGGTCCTGCAGCCCCCAGGCAGGAACCCCTTTCTGAGGGTGAGGTGGGTGGGTTTGCTGTGCCCCCCAGCACCGGTGGCTGCCTGTGCCCTGCTGTAACAGTCCTGGGAGAGAGATGGACATACTGGCATGGGACATGCCTTGTTCTCCCCCTCAGTATGCAGGTAGACTTGTTTTAAAGTGGGTTCAAGATTAATAATGTGTCTTTCGTGTACGCTGCTTTTTAGGCTGTAGAGGGGTGGCAGAGCTGGTGCTGATGGGGGGAGCTTGGTTGCCATGGGCCACCTGGCTGTGTGCCATGGGAGAAGCTGGCCTGCAGGCAAGTGTGTGCTAGCACAACTGGCCAGCAGCTCCTGCTCTTGCTTTAGAGAGCCCAGCTCTCCTTACAGAACTGGTGCTCACGCTGTGCGTGCGTGGCCATTGTAGCTGGTCCATAGGTGGGTGAGATGAACACATGGTGGGCTTATGCTGAGCCAGCCTTGCTGGGATTTCCACTTTTTCCAGTAGCTCTGTATCAAACCCTGCTTCTGTCAAGCACAAGGATGTAGAAAAAGGGGCTGGAGCTGGTGGGTTCCCTCTGCCTGGAGAAGGAAGGCTAAGAGTGAACCAAGTGCAGTCTTCCACTGTCTTCATGGGGTTTATAGAGAATACAGGGACAGACTCTTCCCAGAGGGGCACAGAGAAAGGACAAGAAACAATGGGCTCAAAAAGTACCACAGGAAATTATAGTGGGATGTAACGAAAACATTTGTTATGGTAAGAGGAATTAAGCCATGAAACAGGTTGACCAGAGAGGTTGTGGAATTTCAGCTTGTTTGGACAAGATCCTGAGCATCCTCATTTGGCTTTCAGTTCCTGCTTTGAGTGGGTTTTGGCCTAAATGGTTCCCAGAGGTTCCTTCCAACTTCAATTAACTTATGACTCTTTGATTCTAAGAAGAGGTCCACAGGAAGAAAATGTGGGGATGTGCTGCACAATTCGCTCTGCAGTGTCTAAAACAGAGATTCCCTCTGGCAGTAACCAGACTATTCAATGGGTGTGGTGCTGAACCAATTTATGTAACCCTCTTTTATCTCTCCCATTGTAGCAGCTTCCTCTTCATTTCCTGAGACTTTTGCTCTGAATTGTGGATTCGTTTCACTCCTGCCTTTGTTATGAAATAATGTAAATCTTTTGACTTAAAGGTATAATTCAAAATTGTTTGATGACAAAACTCTGAAAGGAGAGGAATGAGGTAGAGGGGAAATGGGCCTAATTTTTACATGGTTGTCTTCACCAGAAAGTTTAGGATAGCAGTTTGTTGTCTCTGTTCTTAAAGCTTCATCAAAGAAATTAGCCTCTTACATAGGAAGTCCTTTTGTGCAATCCAATGCACTGTGCTCAGGGTAAGAGTGCATGTTTATCTAGTGCTCTTGTAACTGTTTGTCGTGCTGGAATAATTTCAGTGAACACGGAAACCTTGGAGAAAGATGGGGAGTTTCCTAACATTGTGCTCTGGAGAAGATTTCTCCTTTCTGTTCTTGTTCTCATGTTCTGGTTTCAGGATGGTAGCTCAGTTGTGTGCTGGATTGTATTGGTGTTACTGAGAGTGGTTCACAGTCAGTGAGATAATGTGTGTAAAAAGGCAATTCAGACTTTAGTGCAGGACTTTGAAGAAGCTGCTGTTTAAAGCTTTGGGGATGAAGGGGTGGGGGGAAGAATGAGATCAGTGTGGAGTAAAAAAAGAGGTGTAACTGGGGAGAAGATGGAAGGTCTCAAAGAAATACAATTTGGGCAGGAAAAAAGTTTTATAGTAGAATACAAGATTTTTCTAGTCACTTACTGATCTATTTAGTTTCCTGTCTCTAGTTGAATAATAAAAGCCATTCCATTTTTTACTCCATAGCTGGTATCACTGGTTTTTGGTTTTTGTTTGTTTGTTTGTTTGGGTTTTTTTTGTGGAGTTAGAACTTGTTTAGTATAGGCAGCTGCAAATAGCTCAGTGCAGGGATGCTGCACTAGGGTAAGCACACAGGTGCTTACAGGTGCTCCTGAGAGACTGGAGAACATCAGACCACATCATGAGCTTGAGCCAGCGGAGGGCATTTGAAACCACTGACATTCAAAGTTCTATTAATTACATAAAGTAGAATCTGATATCAACTACTTTTTAAGGTACCAGTATTTAAGGTACTTTGCAAATGCATTCATGCTTGTTTTTTTTTTTTTTTTTTTTTTTTTAGGAGATGATGTAATCTTTGAAGATGAAATTGAAGCATTGCAAGTAGAAGTGAATAAACTTACTGCTATGGGAGTGAACAAAATAATTGCCCTAGGACATTCTGGTTTTACTGTGGACAAAAACATTGCCCAGAAAGTGAAAGGAGTGGATGTTGTAATTGGAGGACATACAAACACATTTCTCTATACAGGTATTTTACTTCTACAAAAACATTGCTTCTAAGGCAAAGCTGAAACTGTTGCTCTTTAAACTTCACAAGTTCCACAATTAAGGTTTGCTGCTGGCTGTACTGGGCTAGAGTCATGGCCAATACCTCTCTGTAACTTCTGTGGAAGAAACTAATGTAAAACAGTCACTGAGCAAGAAGTGCCCTAACTCACTGAGAAGTTCTTTAATGCTGTGAAGGTGACAAAAGTGGGACAGAGGAGCAAAGGTAGTAATATGGGCAAATTACTGCCAACCATATTGTACCTCTTTAAAGCTCACACATATAAAAGAGCAAATAAGGTATTTGCAATTAAACTTGTATGTGACTTAAGCAAAGTCAGTCATATAGGACTACAGAAGTGAAACCAGTGTTGATTTTCCACAGAAATTGATTCTGTATTTATAGGTCTCCATTAGCCTTGCCAAGGCTTTTCCCAAGTTTCCTCTGTCTTTTTCAGTCCTTCTTTTAATCTCTGACTTTATTCCTCTTTTTCCTTAGGGGTGATGTAATTCCAGAGTTAAACATTGTTGACCTGATTTCTCCTGCAGCAAAGCTGCTTTAGGCAAAACCTAAAGCTTCTCCAGTGCTGCTGCTTTCCCTGTGCCAGTGTGTAAGGACACACGTGACCAAAAAGCTGGGATTTTTGAAGCCATCAAAGATAGTTTGTTAAATTTAGCAGAAACTTAATTAACTGGTTGAGACTACACCAGGAACTTAATGTAATTTTCAGTTAAATTCCCCTTGTGCCCTAGTCACAGGGGTAGCACCATGTACCATAGGAACTTGCCCACTTTCCACTGTCTATTTCATCCTCTCCTCCCTCCATTCATCCCCTCTCACTTCCTCATGCCTTTTTTCTCTCATGTTTTACTGTCCCACTTGTTAAACAATAGCATGCAACAGTTACACATTGAGCAGTTTGGAATATCTCTTGAATTTGGCCTTGGGGAATAACTTTGATCACTAAGCTGGAGCCACAAAGTGTTTTCACACCTACCCACAAGCCAGAGGCCACAAACAGCCTGGGGGTGCAGCAGAGAAGTGGCCAAACTGGAACAGTCAACAGGACTGTCCATCCCATCATCTTGTCTTCAGAAGTGATCAAGGGAGGATGGTGAAGGAACAGTGGACAAGCCTGTTGAGACACTGTACTCAAATCTGCCCCCATCTCCCAGCAGCTTGCAGCTCAGGGACTTCCCAAGCCAGAAGTGGTGTCCTGGTATTTACTACCTCCCACTGGAATTCTCCCCCCTGAACTGGCCCCATCTCCCTTTGATTGTCTTCAGCCTTCACAACAGCCAGTGGCAGGGTGTTCTACCACTGCCCTGCACATCCTGCAGAGACCTTGCTCTTTTGTCTGTGTGCAGCCTCCTGCCCACTGGTGGCATTTTTCAGCAGTTTTATTGAGTTATTTTTGAGATGGGAACACCAAGGATGCATGCAGTGTTCCAAGTGTGCATTCATCATGGGTTTACATGGTGGAATCCAGATTCTTTTGCACAGGCTTGTTGGTCGATGCCTGTAGAGAGTTTGTGCCTCAAAGTGGTAGCCAAAGTAGTCAGAATGTCTTATTGGGTGTGTCCCATAGGGCTGCCACTGTTCACCTTTGGGAATCATGATCTGCAGAGCTCTAGGAGCTGAGATACCTAAGCTCATATGCTGTCTAGATCTGAAGGAGTTCACATGCACCTCTCTTGGCATCCTGGAGAGTACCCCACTGTCAGACTAGACTAGGTCAAGCTGCTTCATCTTCCCACTTGGAGCTGTTCCAAGATTTCCAAGGCCAGAGAGAACACACAGGAGAGGACTCTGCAGCCTTCAGAGTAAAGAACTGAGATGGGAGTGGGTTCTGGTCCCTTTTCCAAGGGCCATACTGTTAATGAAAAAAATGGTCTCACTTTATTAACAGTGAGGTGAGAAGAATTAAAAAAAAGTATCTAGGGGAGATACACCAAAAAATATGTATCCACTTACTTAGTTAAAATAAGCATATATTAATTTAATATCTTTGGGGATAAGAACAAGTGAAAATTCTTTTCTTTTCAGAAGGAGCAGATCTATCTTACAACAGAATAATGTCATAGTGATAATTCATCCTGCAACAAATTATCAGGATGATAAAGTATTTCTTCAGAAAGCAAGAAATTAATATGGTGCTGGACAAGCACTTAACCGTGTGCAGCTGATCTGAACTAAAATGATGGTCAGGAAGTAACTTTCTCTTGCTAATGCTCTGTTCATGGGAGGACTGCACGAGGGCAAAAGATCAAAACCTTTTTCAGTTTCAAAAAAGCCAAAGCTACATGTGTTAGTCCTACAAGGTTCATATTAGCTCCAGGATTTATTGAATTCTTCCCAAAATAACTATTGAATAGTGAAGAGAAGCCAAGAAGCAACTGTCAGTTAGGCTGAAAGTGGCAAAACTAGTTCTCTGGTCAATTTGGTTCAGCTTGTAGTTTGTAACAGCCATTCTCCCTGGAGGAGAAGGAGGATTAGAGATAAATATGGATCGTATTTGAATTGGAGGAGGAACGTGTGTCATGTGGCTTATCCCAGGATTTCAGATTACATAAACAACTGTAAATGGAAGGAAACCAGTTGTTCTCTGAGCCATGGAAGGAAAGAGACTGCTTTCCTCTGGATCCACGTCCTCTGTGCCCACTCCCCATGCCCCCACCCCACCAGCACCCCAGCTCTCATGACACGGGTGGGAAGCGCCGCCGGCTTTGGGACGGGAGGGGCCCCACTGTGGAGCCCCCACACAGCACGTGGTGCTGCTCAGAGTGGGGTAGAAATACTGACGGGAATCACAGGGGGGAGGGCTGCTGCTCGGATAATATTGTCAAGGAGACAGGAGAAGGCTGGCACCCTTGAGACAAGAGCTGTGCTGTCTAGTTTTTGTTGCTGCTTCCCTCCCCTGCATGGTTTCTAAATCCTGTGGTTGTGCCAATTGAGCTGAGATCTTTTCTCTCTGTAAATGCCTGGCTTTAATCTGTTTCCAAGTCCTGCATTTAATCACCCTTCAATCTTTGCAGGTTGATAGGAGTGTTAAATCCACGGCCACATAACTCTAATGCTAATGAAGTTTGCTTTTGCAGAGGGTTTGCAGCCCGTCTGAAATTTTGGAGGCTAAGTTTGGGGTAGTGAAAAACAAATCAGCTGAGTGTATGCACAAATTCACAGAACTGCTTGTTATTCTGACTGCGTATTATCAATAAACGTAGTTTAGACTTTTTCATATAAAGAAATGTGTGTTTTACTAACAGTCTCATTTTCTGCCCAGTGCAGAATCATATAGTGTGAAGGCTTAACAGCCAAATTCTCAGCCAGAGGCCGGTATGTATGTGTTACTGAGAGGTTTAGATTGAAATAGTTAGAATGAAAAATTCCTTTGTTGCCATGATGTCATGGAGGAGTGTGCTGTCACAACTTAAAAAACACTCTGGCAGTTATTAGAGCTTGTGTCCTGAAAAGAGCATTGTCTCTTATGAAATAACGTAACTGAAGAACCAAATGTGTGCTTGTCATCCAGTACATTCATTGTCATTTCTGCTTAATATTCTACTTGGTTGTTGTAAGGCTGAGAAACAGAAATGTCATTCTAATAATTCCTTGGAGGTTACATGGGCTGAAGACCAGCTTTACATGCTTTCTTCATGCAGGCATCCCACCCTCTACTGAAGAGCCAGCTGGCCCATATCCATTCATGGTTGACTCAGATGATGGAAGGAAGGTGCCAGTTGTACAAGCTTATGCTTATGGAAAATATCTGGGTTACTTAAATGTTACATTTGACAAGAAAGGAAATGTAGTTGAAGCAGTTGGAAACCCCATCCTGCTGGACAGCAGTGTTCCTGAAGGTACGTGGACTTAGGCGCTTGAATCTGCCTGCCCTGCTGCTGCAGTTCCAGTGTTGTTATGCTAAATTCACAGACCAGAGCACAGAATAATTCAGTTTGCTTCCTGAGCCTGCAGCTCTCTTCTGGGTAGGGTTCAGGCAGTGTCACAGTTGTACCCGTTTGCCTCTGTTTCTCTTTCTGAACGGTGGTCTTTGAATTTTCACAAGTTCAGTGTATGTTTTTGTGTGTCCTTTTGTGTGTCCTGAAAGTCCTTCTGTAGGAACTCGGGCCGTGTATTACCTTACCTTTTGGCAGAGCTCCTGTAGTTATGATTTACAGGATTATGAGCACTACTTTACACTGATTTGCTAGAGGCTGGGTTCTTCAGAACAGAGTTTAGGACAATGTATGAAAGTGGAAATGTTCCAAAAAAACCCCACAACTGGAATACTCTGGCAATGTGCAAATATAACATACAAACCCCACAACTTCTTGTTTTCAATGCTGAGTGTGTTCAGTGTTTCAGCTCTGAAACATGTAAAGAACTGGGGGGAAGAGGGTCTCTCTGTTACTTTCTGTTTGTGACTATCTGAGCAGTGTTACCTGCTTCTGGTCAGCTCTGTAGTCACCTGGGGCTGCTTCTCTAGGCTTTGGTTCTTGTCCAGTGTTTGCTGTATAAAGTTATGAGCTTTTACAGGACTTCCTAGCTTCTACCAGAGTATTTATAAAATGAATCCTTTAAAAGTTATATTCTTATTTACTGTGTTATTCTGAGTGATCTATTACTGTAATGAGATGATGTAAAGAGACTTTACATTCTCTCTCAGATGTCAGTAGAAGTGAAAATGCAGATACACAGGTGCACTCATTTTATAAATGTTGCAGTTGCTGACAGTTACATGGCAAATTGCTTAAAACTAATAGCTGATATAAAACAGTTGTGATGTTATCTGTCTGTATGTACAAGTATCTTTGTATCTGTTTTTTTTCTGGAAGAATTACATTTGCACCTGGCAGGCAGATGTGCATAGAGCATTAATTTCTATAAGGAGTTTTTACTTGACATTGATATTTGAGCTAGTATTCCTTTTAGCACAACATTAAAGGGGAGGAAGGTATAATTAGGAGAAGGAAGAAAAGAGATGTCAAGTAAAGACCAAGCTCACTTGTATGTTGAAACCTCTCACCTGTCAGGGTAGCTGCAGACCCTGTCGTCAGATTTTAGAATCTAGGGCTAACCAAAACTATTTTTAAGTGTTATGGAGGTGGTAGCCTTTCTGGAGCACAGGAATAGCTTGTTCACTTGTTTATCCTGTCCTGCCTGCCCCACTTCCAGGCTTAGTTTGAAGTGAGTATAGGTGTTATGTGAAGAGTCTTTAGGGAACATGTAACATTTTAGTATAATGAAGAGCAGGGTTTTTTTTCCTAAGCTTTGTATTCATTTTAGTGTCACTAATATGACATGTGCAATGCTTATTTTACACTTTTATACTACTTTATAGATGAACACATTAAAGAAGAAGTGGAAAAATGGAGGAAAAACCTGGGGAATTACTCTACAGAGGTTGGACAAACTAGTGTTTACCTAGATGGTACAACCAAAACGTGTCGCTTCCAAGAATGTAACATGGGGAATTTCCTTTGTGATGCTGTGGTAAGATGTTGCCACTGCAGGTGGCAATCACATCTCAGTGTGACTCCAGAGCTATCAGATGAAATGCTCTCAGGCTCCAAATTATCAGCACGCAGGCTCTGTGCTGCTTTCCAACACAGTCACATCTAGTGTGTCCCTAGAAAGATCTGGCAGTAGCAACACTATAATTAATCTTCCTTTATAGAGGAAGGAGCAGTTTACTCTTTGTGTAGATCCTCATTTGGAAAATGGCTTGTTTGCTGCTGGCCCTGAGGCTGCAGTTTTAAGAGACTGATCTAAGAGCTTGTTCCTCAAGCTGGGGGGAGAGCTCAGCCCCTCCACCCCTCTCCTGCCCTGCTGCTGATCCCCACTCACAGCAGGTACCTTCTGCCCAACATTACCAGGCTCTGCTGTCACCCTTTTTTAATGCACTAACCCAGGAAAAAAAAAGCCAGCCATCAAAATCTGTGTAGTTTTCTGCCAAGTTACTGATCTGAATTGTCCCACCAAAGAGCCCAAAAGGTGCCAGCTGAAGCAAAGGAAGTGGAAGGGCCACACAAACAGCCAGGACCAGAAGAGGTAAAAGTGCCCAGCGCCCCAGCACAGGGGGAGCCACTGGCGCTTGCTGCATCCTGACAGGTACCGCTGGGCTTTAACAGTCACGTCACACCCAGAGGTGTCAGAAGTCACTTCCACATTTTACACTAGCTAGTTTTGAGTGTTTTACTCTCCCACAGCAGCACCATTTCCTTCAGGTGCTCCAGGGAAAAATGTTCACTACCATGACTGTTTCCAGAAAATGAGCATTGCCATAAATGTCCTGCAGCACTGCAGCAAGGGCAGAAGCCAATTAATAATCATGAGTTTTCATTTAGATATTTCCCCAAAGCTATTCATCCAGGCCACATGATTGCTTTTCTTGAAATCCTGAAAATAATTCTTAGTACACGGGCTAATTTCCAAATTAGCTTCAGATTTGGGAATTTGCATACAGTTCTACTAAAACTGTAGTGCCTTGCTTTTTCCTTCCTGCTAGACTTCTTTATACTTGTATTTGAAAAATGTGATCAAATGCTTTGGTTCTTTTTAAACATAAAGAAAGTAATTTTGAAATCTTTCAGAACTCAGATTTACAGTCTTCTATGTATTTTGTCTTGGAGGGTCAAATTCTATGTTAGTTAAATCAGTGTCTCTAGACAACCATCTGCAGTCATCAGTAGATACATAGATTGTTCTTCATGGTCTTTGCATGTACCTGTTCTACACTTGCTTTCCTCTCTAGTGCCATCCATTCAGGATATGAGGGTAAAAAACAGACCTTTCTCTACCATAGGATTTAATATTTAGAGCTGTCCTGGGAAATCCAGAGACTGAAAAATACGAGAGATGGATTGAACAATGGTATTGGGTCAAAACAGTCCATTTAGTTCCGTGCTGCTTCTCCCAACAGTAGCACAAAATCTCAGAAAAAAAGTTTGACAGACCCAGGTGGCATTTTCCAAAGGACTGCAAAGAACTGAAATGAGAAATGGCTGTGAAGTTGCTAACATCAGTGTGTGAGCTCTGATTTTAAACTGCCTCTGTGCTGAGGACTGGACGTCAGCAAGTGTAGAACCAGAATTTTTTGTGAGGAATTACAGCTTTGTAATCCTGTTATTGGTTCCAGGCAAATTAGTAAATCAGGGGTATGGTTCAAACTGAAATCAGCAAACGGGAGAAGATCTATTCATTGATTAACTACAAATTACAAATGTAAGAATATCTCATGGGTCTGGGTGTAGAGAACATCTTTGATCACTAAGCTGGAGCCACAAAACATTTAAGCACCAACAAGCCAGAGGCCACAAACACAGCATAAGAGTGCAGCAGAGAAGTGGCCAAACTAGAACAGTCAACAGGATCATCCAACCCAGCATCCTGTCAAATATTTTCCTTCTGTTGTCTCATTACCAGGTCAGACAGTCTGCATCATCAGTCTACGTTCAGAAACTTTTCTGTGTTTTCAGCCATCCTTGTCACTCCTCTTGGAATCTTTAGTCATTCTTGGAATAGAGAAAGCACACCAATTCCTGCCCAACCTCCATATGCTCTTTATTTTATAGACTCATGTCATGTCCTTCCCATATTTCTGTCTCTGTGAGCCTGAGCAGCCATAATCATAGTCATTCCTATACAGAGACCAGTGCATCCCTTCCATTATCTTTGTTTCTTTTCTACTCAGTTATTTCTGAGGATTAACACTGTAGGCTTATTATTACACAACTGAGTAAATCCCTGGTATCCATTTTCTTTACTCCTTAGGATGCCTCAAGCAACTATTATCTCATCCTTGAATTTTGTCAGAGTTTTACCACTGTTGGAGACATGATGCTGTGCAGAGCAGATTTTTGGGTCTGATCTAGTCTGCCTGTTTCATGTTCCTCCACTCTGTTGCTTCATTCTACTTTGCCAAAACCATTCCAAATACAAAATAAAACAATCTTGGAGAAGCTGAAACTTCTGAATTACCTGCAACATTCAACAAGAGATAAATTAATTTACATATTCCCCTACATGTACAGCTATATTTAAGGTCCTCTTCACTTCCCAGTTCTCAAAACAACTCAAATAATTTGTATTTATCACAGTTAGTGCAACTGAAAAATCATCCTTCCTTTCTTCAGCTGGCCTCCCCTGATTATGTTATCCACACACAGACTAAGAGGAGTTCAAGAGTTCATTACAGACAAAGGCAAATACTTTAAAGAACTCCTAGGATATGTATTTTGATTTGTTTTGCTGTGATTGTTTTTTAATAATGCAGTATTTTACAGTGGGGCTGAAGGTGATGTCAAAGAAGGTGTAAAACTTTTCTATCTTTCTTCAGTCTCAGATTGTATTTGGTGTAAATTTCCAGAGTCTGGACTAAGTGAAGATTAAAAATCAGTTGAAACATTTTCCTTTGGCAGCTTTATGAGAATATTGGACACCCGTATGACAAGTCATGGAACCATGTTTCAATGTGCATCCTGAATGGAGGTGGGATACGATCAGCCATTGATGAACAGAGCACTAATGGTATGTAAAACTGCAAGCTGAATGACAGCTTATCCATGGGACAGCAATGTGCCTTTGTGGCCAAGAAGGCCAATGGAATCCTAGGGTGAATTAGGAGTATGTCCAGCAGTCAAGGGAGGTTCTCCTCCCCCTCTACTCGGCCCTGGTGAGACCTCACTTGGAGTATTGTGTTCAGTTCTGGGCTCCCTGGTTCAAGAGGGACAGGGATTTACTTGAGAGAGCCCAACAGAGGCTTCAAGGATGATTAAGGGACTGGAACACCTGCCTTATGAGGAGAGGCTGAGAGACCGGGAGCTGCTTGGAGAGAGAGAAGACTGAGAAGGGATCTTCTTAATGTACAGCCTGTTAAGGCTGTTTCTTCACCTCCTGCTGCAGAGGGTCATAGGGTATGGTCACTGTGAGCCCTTTGTAGCCTGCTGTAGAATAAGTCAATCTGGGCTTTTCTCTATGTTAAGGTCTTACAGTTCTTATTTTCCTGGTATCACAGAAACAAAACCTGAAAACAGCTTTTTAGTTTTAGCTAAATCTTCCTGTAGGTCTACATGAGTAAGTCTTAAGAAACTGGAAAATTTACCTTTGTAAGAATATCTGGTTTTCTTCATCCTAGGTTGGTGGTGTGTAATCTCTTTTAGCAGAATTATTTGAATAGCAATACATGCAGTTACATCAAATTCAGATTTATTGGTCTTGATACTTGCTGGATGATAAAGATGCAGGTTCTTTGATTGGGACAATATATGTGATCCTCACCTCTATTGGCTCTCATTTTCTCCAACTGTACTTACCACATTCCTGGTCAAACATATGCTGCTAAATGATGCTAAAATGTTATTGTAACCTTTAAAAAAATAATAAAATAATGTAAACAAAGGCTTGTTCCTCCAGGTAGCATTACTTTGGAAGATCTGCTGTCTGTTTTGCCATTTGGAGGTCGTTTTGATCTGGTAAGGCTTAAAGGCTCCACCCTGAAAGAAGCTTTCGAGCACAGCGTGCGCAGATACGGGCAAGGAAGCGGAGAGCTGCTGCAGGTTGGAGGTACATTTTCTTCCTTCCCCTTCTCAGTTTTCCAAGCCAGCCCTCCCTTCTGTTGGCCGTGTGTGTATTACACCTGGAAGCCTCTTTAAGAATGGAAAGCAGGTTGGTTGTAGATTCTGGCCCTGTGCCTCTCACCTGCCAGCGAACCAACACGGTATGTTTCATTGAGCCGCTGCAGCTCATGGGCCACTGCTGTTCCCTTCAGCAGGGACAGGATTCCCAGCTGGCTCAGTAATCCGTAACAGCAGCAGTTTAATACTTCAGTTAACTACAGGAAGGGATAATTGAGGATAGCTGGAACACAGTAATAGCTACAACAAACTCCAGCTTTCAGTTCTTCACTGGCAGCCTAACCTGAAATCCCGAATTGGACATCTCTGCCAGTTATTGCCAAACTTCAGTTTATGAGAATCATTTTGTGCTCTTGTCTAATGATTGCTGATGGTTCTAGAGTTAGCCCAAGTAGGCTGTGGAATTGCTCCAGTGAATTTCAAGAAATGTTAGGGATGAACAGTTAAATATTGAAAACATAAATATTTCTTGAATTGCAGCTCCCCATACATTTACCCAGGTGTGTACCCAGGCTACAGTCACTTTTTTTGCTGGTGTCATTGTGATGCAGTGCACATCTTGCTGTTTATTTAGCAAAAACACTAAGCTTCCAGGGCAGAGGCTGAGGGATTTTTTTTCCCCCTCCATGCCTTTCCTGTGTAGCCTGATGATGGGGGCACTACCCTGCTATGTGATCTAGAACCCCCCCATGTGCCAAGGATGCGATTCACTGGTAAGTTACCAGGTTCTTGGGTAAGGCAGAGCAGCAGCAGCCCTTCTCAGTGCCCTTTGCACAGGAAAAAAAAAAAAAGGTGACTCTGGAAAGGGTTCAGGACAGAAGATCAAGAGCAGGGAGAGCATCAAGGTTGAAAGAGGCTCTGTGCTTTGGACAAGCTGTAGTGGCTTCCTGCTCACCAAGTCCTTTGCAGTGCTGTTCTGGGGACCTGACTCTCCCCAGGCTGTGGCTGAGGACAGTGCACAACTGGAAGTGTTCCTTCTGCAGTGAGCAGAAACCACAGCGTTCTGCCCTAGCCCAGCGTTCTTTTTTTCAGGACAGTACTTACTATCCATCCTAGCTGCTAAGATAGGGTGGCTGGTTTTAAAAGAAATCATTTCAGCCAAGAAGGCAGGGGAAGGAGAAAGCGTGTGACTGCAGAAATAAGGGAAGCTATTTTTACCTTGCAGTATCCTAATCCCGTGACTAGTAATTTCCTTCTGTGGAATAGTGATGAGAACAGACAACCAGATAAGTAACAGAGGTGGGACAGTACTTCAGCAGTTCTCTAATTTCATGGATTTTGGATAAAAGCAAAGAAATTGGGAGGAAAAACACAGGGTATTAACTAGTATCACTCAGCACAGTATCACCTCTCAGTGACACAAGCTAACATAAAGAATCCGTTGGAAATGGTGGAGAATGCTGCTTCTAGCCCTTTATGTTCTATAGGCACTGCAGAAAGTGGCAATTAAATGTGTATTTTCACAGGCATCCATGTGGTCTATGACCTCTCCAGAGCCCCAGGAAGCAGAGTTGTTAGTTTAGAAGGGCTTTGCACAGCCTGCCGAGTCCCAGCCTACTTCCCACTCGAGATGGATGCAATATACAATGTGACTCTTCCATCCTACATGTTATTTGGAGGAGATGGCTATCATATGCTGAAAGACAAAAATCTGGGCTACAATAAAGGTAAGGATGGGCTCCAACAGGGTAGCAGACAAACAATTCCTAAAAGTTAAAAGATCTTTTTATAGTACATGTCTTGGACTTCTTGAGTTTACTGGCTAGATCAAATTTGCCTCTGATCTGACTGCACTGGATTCCTGGTCTTGGTTGTAGCCAGCCATTATATTATTTTTCAGTTAAAGCACAGAAGTTTCAAAGAGAAACTAAACCTTGTCAATTCAGCACTGCTGTGAGAACAGTTCTGGTGTCATGATAAATCAGAAAAAAGGCAAAAAGCACATTATAGAGAGCACGTTTTGTGTACTGCCTTGCACTTTAATTACTAAACACAGCATCACCAAGAAAGGTGCTGTTTTCTTCAGACCTCAAAATTCTACTGTATTGGAAGTATTTGCAAACACAGAATCGTCAGCTCTGCCACCGAAGGACGTGCAGCTCAGCTCAGCAACACAGAAGGCAAGGGGAGAGATGCCAGCGTGCACTGCAGGAATTAGCCTGCTGCTCAAGAGCAGCGGGACACTCACGAGTTCTGCAGGCAGCAGGAGCAGGCAGCAGGAGCAGTAACAGAAGCAGCAGCAGGGTGCCTATAAAGGAAGGGTGTTCTAATGCTGCCTTGGGATTCCCTGAAGTAGCAGCTGAAAGAAATTCAGCATTCCTACAACTGACATGTACATCTTTTAGGACCAAGGGAAACTTGAAAAAAGTACTCGAGTTCAAAATTATTTCTGAAAACAAAAAGGGTGTAGTGCTGATTTAAAAAAAACCAAACAAAAACACATAAAGTATTGTCTAGGAACGTATCTACATCTTGCAGAACTCTAATTTCATACGTTCTAATCTCAGATGGTGAAAGCATGCTTTCCTTTTGGACCTTCACTACAGACTATTCTTCTGGTTCTACTACATGTTTCAATTTAAAATTGATTCTCACAAGTGGGATGGCTGTTCTCAATCAAACTCAGTGTACAGCTTGTAAACTGGGGGTGACAGGCATGGGCTGTAGTTTTCATACCATATCTGTATATGTAGAAATAAATGCATGTGGAGAAAAATAATTAGGAATCATGAGAGGGAACATCTTGAAAGCTTCTAGTAGTCCAGTATAGCAGAGGAGCAAAACTAATTACTTTTAAGGTGGAGGTGTTGCACTTGAGGATTTTAAGAGCTTGGATCAGACATGGCTCATATGACACTGTTGGCTGCACTGACTCAAGGGGGTCTTCCACTGTAGAAAATCCACATCATGGATGTGGCAGCAGAGCACAGACTAGAAATTCTTCCTAAGAAAGGTAACGTAAATTTGAAAGGCTCAAGTGATACTTTATCAAATCTATAGGACTCTCACTCAAGCAGGTGGGGAGACCATCTCAACCTACCTAAATCTGACTGGAAGTTACCAGTGCAACAGAAAGATGGGGTTTTTTTTGTTTGCTTGCAAGACAATGCAAAGAGAACTCTCCTATTTTCCTTTTTCCAATGAGTTGCTACCAAGGTTTCAGGCTACAAACCACCGCAGGTGTTTTATCTGTGCACAAGAAACAACTCTCCACACCTCTACAGTGACTTGACAGAATGACAAACCATAAAAACCAGGTTGCTTTAAGACTTGATGTGAAAGTGCAGTTTTAGACAGTTTTCTTAAGTTTTGCTTGAGAGCTTGGTTGCTGCAGAGAACACTATCTTTATTTCTTTCTTTGTTCAGGTGAACCTGATGTTGAGGTTGTTTCCCGTTACCTCCAGAGAATGAAGAGGATTTACCCTGCTGTTGAAGGTCGAATAAAGTTTTCTTCTGGAAGTCTTGTTGAAGGAAGTCTTACCCTGATTTCTGTATTGTTCATTGTAACATTCTTGTATACTTGATTTTTTGCTCCGTTATGTTTTTGTTTGGAGGAAGACAGGAGGAGAGATGCTGCTGGCAAAGGGAAAAGAGAACTGTCCTCTTTTCTTACACTAAGGATGAATGAGCATTTAGGTTTCTGCATGTCAACAGTATGCAAAGCAACAAGCAATTGTCTTTAATCTGGTAGAATCATTGAAGCACACAGGCCAGAAGAAGTGGGCAGAATTCATAACTTCCCTTAGGTTGAATCAGCAGGTACAAACTTGCATAACCCACAATTCAGCTTGATGTTGCAAGAAGCAAAGTATCAGTGGATATGAGTGGGAGATTTTTAAGAGTGCTTTAGATCAGGTCAGATGTTAAATAATCTAAATCATCATACACATGATTTTCCATGCTCATGAAAAGCATGAAGGCCAAAGGTAGTTCTGAAATTATTTGTATGCAGTGGATTCAATAATCTAATTGTTTTTTAAAAAACAGTAAAAATTGTTAAAACAGTTTAAAAGAAACTTCATGGGAGCATTCTGCAACTTCTTCCAAAATTTTTTTTCTACATATCCTTGAAGCAAGGAGCAAATTGAGCAAAGTATATGTTGGCTGGTCTTCCAGCCATCTTCTTTTATGTCATCCTGTAATTTCATACACAGAGATTCTAGGGAATTAAAAGACTTTTACTGATAACAGCTAAAGCAGATTTTAAATAAAAAGTACAGATGTATTATTTACTTGTAATTGATATTAAATTTTCATGTCTTTATTGAATAAAGAGATTTTTTCAGAACTTAATGTTTGTTATTTACAAGAAAATGTACAATGTGGGGTTCAAATGTCACATGTCCATTCCAACAATGCACAGCAGATGTTTCTCCTGCGTGTCCAGCAAGGTCCCTGCATTCACATCCAACCAGACACAGCACTGGCATCCTTCGGAGCCTGCCAAACAGTCATGGAGAGAAAATTTGACTTATTAAAGTAGAAAAAGACATATTTACATACAAATGACTGACCTGAGCTGCAGCGACTAATGGCATTGGGAAACAAGCAAAACTCTGCTCGAAGCTGGAGTGAACAGAAGGCTACTCCGTCCAGGGTTTTAATGATACTTCTCAAAATAGGTATTTTCTTCATTCTCTGGAAGTTCTTGCTTCCCCCCCATTGCTAACTGCTAAACACAATTTCCTGAAGACAGCAATTTTCTGCTCTTGAAACTACACTGGCTTGAAATTTTTTCAACTGGATTGCTTTCCTTCCTCTGCAAGGAATGCTTCTCCTGTTTCTGCTGTCCCTTTTATTTATATCCTGTCTGACAAGACTTCCCAGGGACTGCCTGTACTCAAGTATTTTTCAGCTCTTATCCTTAGAACACATTCACTTGTGCATGCTGCCACTGAGCACTGCATATCTGGTGTGATGGAGTACATATCCACACTGGTATGTGTAGCAGGGAATACCTCCAAGAAACCAGATTTCAAGAATGGGAAGCAGATCAACATCCCCAGTAACAAAACTTTTCCCACTTCTCCCATTTCTGTTCCCCCTGCCAAAGCAATGCTCAAAACAAAACCTGCAGGTTGCTCAGGTTTCTCTTTAAATGCTGACCAACCTGAAATAGTTATCTGTTCTTCACTGTAACTACAACACATTTTGGTGTCAAGCAACTCAACAAGGGCCAGTCTCTGTGAAACAGACAGGACAGCCCCTGGAGTGACTTCCCCCTCCCCTCAGTATAACTGATAACTTACTAAGAACCAGTCATTACTTTTAAACTTCCCTGTTAAAATTGTTTGGAAGAAACAATTGTCTTCCCAAGTGGCTTCACAGTCAGTTTGCAGTCATTTTGGGGAATTTATATTTTATCTTTTTTTAGGGCTCCAGATGAAAAGCCCTGCCCTCTGCCCATAACCTCCCCATCCTGCATTTCCCTTCCCTGAGTGATCCCTCAGCTGCCTCACTCAGTCCATCACAGTCCTAGAACCCTCATGACCAAGTCCACTGTCAAAGATCATAGAAGCAGTACTTTGTTCTCTATTGCTCTCACTACATCCAAAATAGGAAAACAGCTGAAGTAGTTCCTGGTTGAATTATTTTCTCTTCCTTTCCTCTACTAAAATCTGGGTCAGCAAATTCCCTCACTCTGTTCCCATCAGCTTCAGCCACAGAGGATGGAGGAGCCCAGGCCTCAACTCTGCTGTTTCACTAGGACCAAAGGTAGTATTAGAGGTCCCTCAGCAGGTGGTTTTCTGATACTCCACAGAGCAGTTACATGAATGAAAGAATAGATTCAGAAGTTGCAAAAACCTTAATCCAAATCTAAATTAAATAATCTTTTATTGATTTGTTTTCAAATTAAAAAAAAACAACAAACCTATTAAATATACACACTGTGAGGGAATCACAGACTGGCTGATGCTGGAAGGGATCTCTGGAGGTCATCTGGTCCAACCACCCTGCTCAAGCAGGGTGACCAACAGCCAGTTGCCCAAGACCATGCTCAGCAAGCTATTGAGTATGTCCAAGGATAATGACCCCACAACCTCCCTGGGCAACCTGTCCCAGTGCTTGGTCACCCTCTCACAGTGAAAAAATGTTTCCTGACATTCAAAAGAAATGCTTGTGTTTTGGTTTGTGCCCATTGTGTCTGATCCTGTCACTGGGCACCACTGAAGAGTCTGGCACTGTCTTCTTTACATCTTACTTCTCTTTTAGATATTTGTACACACTTACGAGATCCCCCTGAGCCTCCTCTTCTCCAGGCTGAACAGTCCCAGCTCTCTCTGCCTCTCATAGAAAAGATGCTTCAGTCCCTTTATCATCTTTGTGGCCCTTTGGTGGATTCTCTCCTGTATGTCTATGTCTCTCCTGCACTGGAGAGCCCAGAACTGGACACAGCACTCCAGATGTGCTGAGCTGAGATGCAGCATCACCTCCTTCACACTCATGCAATGCAGCCCAGGATACCATCTGCTGTCTTTGCTGCTGTTCCACTTCATGCCCTCTAGGCCCTTTTCTGCCAAGCTGCTTTACAGCTGGGCAGCCCCCAACTGGGTTGTTCCTCCCCAGGAGCAGGAGATTCCCTGCAGTTTGGAGAGCAGTTCGGATTTCCTTTTGCTGAATTTCATAAGGTTCCTGTCAGCCCATTTCTTCAGTCTGCCAACAACATCCCTCTGGGATGGCAGCAGGACCCTCTGGTGCATCAGCCAGTTCTTCCAGTTTTGTGTCACCAGCAGCCTCACACTCCACCCCATCACCCAGATCATTATGAAGATGTTAAAAAGGGGACTGGACACACAATTAACCCCTGAGATACTCCCCCAGCTACCATATCCAACTAGACTTCATTCCACTGACCACCACCCTCTGGGCCTGATCAGGTGTTTTGTTTGTTCATAACTGCCTGAACACTGACACGAGGAGGCCAGCTACAAAGCTGGTGCACAGAGAAGGTTAGACTTGGTCAGCTGGCCTCATTTCACTGAAAAAAAAAGGAAGTTGCCCTAGCTTGTTCTGAAGTCTCACTTGTTTCTGTTCATCACGGAAAACAAACCACTGCTGACACTCCAGATCTCTTGGACACAGGGCTCATGCAACCAACATGTAAATTTTAAGTACGGGGGTGTTGTGTGTGTTTGTATCTCATTAACTATCTTAAATCACCTGCTCACCATGAAAACCAAGCTGTAAACTTACTATGTAAAACTTTGTGAAGGGTTTATAATCATAAGTACAAACATCAGATGGATCACAAACCTAACAATATGCATTTATACAGTATTTTGTGTTGTGTGGGTGCTTTCTCCTTTATCTGGGTAGTAGGGTTCACGTTGCAGTTAACCAGAGGTAAGAAACCTTCCTGCCAAGTATTCTCAAAAAAAAATGCTGAAGTTCAACCTGACCTCTGCATGTAGAATTTGCTTTCCTAAGTCAGGAAATGCATAAAACAGACTGGTGATAATCAATTGAAAAGGCACAGAGATCCCTCCTGCTAATTGCTCTAATTCTATTTAAAAGCAGCTCAGACTTGCTGTTGCTAGACAAACAGGCCTAAACTGAGTTAGAAAGAGGTAATTAACAAAAAATGTAAATAATCCAGATTTAAATTTTAGCAACTTAATAGAAGATAGATTTTTCTAGAAAATGTCACATTAGTATTACAAGAGAACAATAGCAAAAATGCACCAATGAGACTCAGTAGCAGCTTGAAGAATTCTGCAGCTTATGAATAGAGTTAAGCACATACCTTACTCAGTTCTGGAAAGAGTTCTTGAATCCCAATGTCCAGCAGAACATAAGTTAACTAAAAGAAAATAAGGAAAATTAAGAACACTCCAAGGCAACACTACTGCTTTTTATTTTTAACTCTGAATTAGAGCTCACTCCTCTCCTATAGCCATATGTTCCCTTCAGGAAATCCTGTGCCAAAAGGCAAGTTTCTCATGTGTTGCAAGTTACCTGTTTATTGAGCACTGGCTGCTGCATTCCATCAAACAGAAGCCTGATGCCTTCATATTTGGCCTCTTCCCCAATGCATTTGCCTATCAAATCTAGACCAGATTCCAAGAAGAAATACACAAATCATTAGGAAGCACTGCATAACAGCTGGACAATACAGTTATAGAACTTCAGTAATTAAAAAAAAAGTTTAATTTAAATAAAATAGTTCAAAAATCTATCCATCTGAAGTGGTAAATGGAAGAACAAACACTTCTTTGCTTCCTCATTTTCCTTTGGGGCTGTACACCTAGATAATTACTACACTTTTTATAAAATCAATATATTGTTCTAATAATCACAAGCTGAATTTTTTTTATTACTTTTGAATAACCTAGCAAAGGGACACACCCTCCTCCCCCCTAGTTGATAATAGTGTAAAGAGAGATTATATTTATCTTTTGGCTTCAAGATGTGCCTTTTTTAACCCAGACGTCATCTGGATAAAATGCAAAAGATAGGAGCAGTCTAACTATGAAGAAACCATGGTATTAAGTACCCCTGTAAAGCTCTTTATTCCCACTATGTC